CACTTAGATTTTTCTGATAACTCTTACGACTTGGCCCATTCCCCGTTTCCGACATCTGGAACACCCTACTTATGCTTTCGAGAGAATTTATCAAAATGCAGGCTGAAGCTCTGCTGGCCCTATAATAAAACCGCCAATTTGGATTTATCTTCAGAGATCAATATTCTAACCATAACAACAATCGTCTGTTGTACCTTTTGTAAGAAAATATCATCTAATCCCTTGAGTAATAACCGGAGTTTTTCTTCAGGTACTACACATATTTTTGGTATTGTCCGTTTTTACAAATATATCACTTGCAAGTGAAGGAAGGGAAAAAATAACCGCCAATGGAAATACGGAGAAAGATGATCGTGATACATTGGTAGCATCTGAATCAAAAGATGGACAAATTGAAATTGTGAAAAGGATAAAGGAGGTAAGAAACTGAATATGTATTTTTTTAATGTGTCAAGATATTTTTTAAAATGCGCCTTACGACACATTTCGAGTATAATTTCTTGATAAAACACTTCTACTGAAAACAATAATAGACCGTTGTTTTTTTGTCATGATGGTTAAATTAAAAAAAATATTAATTCCAAGCTTTACGTTTGGACCCTATACATCCTGCAATAATTTTGCGTACTTTTTGATCGCGTCGTAAAACCACAAACCATTTATTCTTAGTACGGCCCTGTAAAGTGCTCGGCGTTCTGAAGCGCGATCTCGTGGAGTATACGTGAATATGTTTAGGTTTAGTCTCTTTCTTCGATGGATACATAATAGTATATTTGCAGAAACAGTAATGTATCGCACCATATCAAAATAAATTATCAGACTGTATTAAAATCTAACACCGTATAATACTAGTTTATTTTGCTAAATATGGTTATACTTAGCATTAACACAGTCCAAATGACCAGATAATTACATGGTAGGCACACCTACAATTACGTTATAGGTTGTTGTTGCTTTATTACTTCCTGGGGTGCGTTTGAAAATTACTTGGTATTGTAATATTGTACATTATTTTAATGGCACTTGATGAAACCCGATAATTTATAAAACGCTAATGGATATCATGTAGCTCATTTATCGTTTAAAATATATAAGCTAAGTAGACAAATAATGAACCATTCACACCTGGCAACCCGGATAGCGTGGAAATGAAACGGTTGCGTAAGCTTGGTTGCCTATACGTTGCTTCACGCAAATATAAATAAAATGGTAATTCTGGATTTTTGGGTTTGGTAACACTGCATGTCTGCTATACTACAACTATTGAAAACTGTAATGACTCATACGCGTGATCAACACGTGATCAGAGCTCGATCCTGGCTTCCTTCCAGTACAGCCGTATAGCGTACGACATATGTCGTTTCTGTGGCTTTGCGGTGGTCAACAGCACAGACAGAGATGGAAATAATGGCTGATTGTTCTCCGCCGGTAGAACCAATGAAATCAAAGACGCGCCTCGACCGGCAGACTCATAGGCGTCGGCAACGCATTGGAACGTGTTTCGTTGAGCGATCGCATATTGTGTGTTTTTATAAGAATTGTTGTGTGATTGTTATTGTTGTGGTTTCTGTGGTTACTGTTTTGGTTATACTTAACCAGGGAGAGTACAAATGGCTCAAGTGGAAGTACTGAAAGCCAGGGAACAAGTAGACGGCTTCGTAAAGCACTGAAGAGGGACGCGAAAGAAATCGTGCTCAACGTGTTCAATTATCTGAACAGAACTATGTCGCAGGGAGATGCACTCGCGCGTTGTGAAAGTATGACAGGCGTTCCAGTGTGGACCATTCGCAGGGTGGTGCATGAAAAGAAGAAAACTGGAGCTACTACTGATCCAAAGTTTAATTTGAGGGGACGAAAGGCCGTTAAATTGCATTCATTCTTCTTTAGGAATGAGATACCAACCCTCAAGGCTGTACATGCAGCGATCAAGGAAAATGAAATTATACCCCAAATGAGGGTCGAGGTAATGAGGAAATCCCTGCACGAAATTAATTTTTAATGATTGAATATAGGCGACAAAGCAGAAAAATCTATTATTTGGACGAGACATGGATAAATGCAGGTCACACAGTTAAAAAAACCTGGATAGACAAAAACGTAGTGAGTAACCGACAAGCAAGCATTGAAGGTTTGTCAACAGGTCTTCGTGGACCATTAGGGAAAGGTCAAAGATTGATCGTAACTCATATTGGTAGCGATAGTGGCTTTTTAGAAGAGTGTGACTTGATTTTCGTCTCTAAGAAAGGAGGTGATTACCATGACGAAATGAATGCCAGCTGCTTCGAGAGCTGGTTTCAAGGGGTGCTTCAGCGAGTTGAGCCCAACTCTGCGATCGTCATGGTTAATGCTTCCTACCATAGTCGTCGAGCCGAACGTGTACCGACTATGGGATCTCGAAAAAGTGACATGCAGCAATGGTTGCGCGAAAAAGGAATCCCGTTTGACGATTCATGTGTGAAAGCGGAATTGTATGAAAAAATTAAACAGCACAAACCTGCGAACATTAGTTACGTGACTGATGAGATGGCCCGACAATGTGGTGTCACTGTGCTGCGGTTACCGCCCAACCACTGTGAACTGAACCCAATAGAGCTCATCTGGGCTCAGTCAAATTACCACACGTTAACGTTTTACTTGAGACTTCCATACAGCTAGTAACGCCAGAAGCTTGGCAGAATGCTATCCGTCATGTTGTGAAGGAAGAAACAAAAATGTGGCAGCCTGATCACCACATCGACACCATCATAGAGCCAGTTATAGTCAATTTCAACGAGGAAAGCGATAGCGACAGTTTATTACTGTCAGATGTAAGTGGAAGCGACGATGAATAAAGGTAATTCCCAAATTTTTGACTTACAATATGTTTCAAACCACTCTTTATTAAGCATGTGACAGATCTAGTTCACCTATGTTAAACATTCATACCCCGCCTATGAACAGCCGACTACTGGTAGTTAAGTGATGTTCACGTGAACATCGATGATTCATTACAGTTTTAGATAGTTATAGTATAGTGCATTATTCGAAATTGAACTTCATGTGTTCTGTGATAAAAGTAGTTGATTGAAAATGTAGACATTCGGGCATTAATACAAAACAAGTTTAAAACTAAAAAACAATTCGCCTATGAACAGCCGCCTTCTGGTAGTTAAGTGATGTTCACGTGAACATCGATGAGTCATTACAGTTTTAGATAGTTATAGTATAGTGCATTATTCGAAATTGAACTTCATGTGTTCTGTGATAAAAGTAGTTGATTGAAAATGTAGACATTCGGACATTGATACAAAAGAAGTTTAAAACTAAAAAACAAGTGTTTTTAATATCTTCTAAGCCGCCAACTGGAATGAACTGAAATTTGGTATGTGAATTTACCTAAATATTGGCTACATTCAGAAGTCTTTACTTAAAATTAATGTACACCAGTGGCGGAGATACAGGGGATTGGTGGCATTATTTTTTCAAATAAAAATGGTATGCTACTTCTATGTACTTCTTTTTTCCGAATCGCACAATTTTTCGGCTTTCACCTTCAATTTGCTACAAATAAGCTTAAGTTTTATTACAATTAATAAAAGAAGACAAAAAAGAAGAACTAATTTTATTATTCGACAATAGAAACTTTTCCTTTAAATTAGATTTAAATCACACGTATGAGTATTTAGGATTATACCTCAATTATTCGAACCAAAATATCTCCAAAACCTCTCTAATACCTCAAGAGACAAGATTTATTGGAAATTGAATGGAATTTCATTAAATGCACTTCTTTTTTCCGAAAAAGCCAGAGGCGTAGAAAATATCTCCTATTAGGTAGATATATTTTTTCAATTTTTTCAACTGACAGGTGAACGAGGACGGTTCGTATACGATAGGATATGAAGCTAATGACGGATCTTTCAAGATAGAGAGCAGAGACCTATTAGGAAGAATTCGAGGCACGTACGGTTACATCGATGAAAACGGACGCGTGCGCAGAGTGACGTACGATAGCGACAACAAACTTGCTGCTACTGCTAATCTAACGAAGTCCGACGGAGAAGAGAAAAACGATACTACTGACGCAACGGTTTCGAATAAAATATCACCAGCTGTCGTATGTAAATGAACCATTCTCCTTAAAGTGTTATTTATTATTATTAATGATTTGTCTATTATTTAGTGGTTCTGTTTGGCTGTAATTGAAGTCCGACTTTATTGGACATGATTTACCTCTATGCAAAAGTGCTTTGTTTGTCGGTTTGGGGTATCAAAATTTTCTTTTTAAAACACTTTTTGTCATATTTTTGGAACCGATAGTCCGATTTGAATGAAATTTGGGACAATGTATTTTGCTAGACGGATTGTACTGAAGTAATCAATGGACGTACGTCTATGATAAAATCACGATGTCAGAAACATAATAACAAACTTGTATTATGATTTTGCGAAGTTAGGTTATTTCACAGATTATTTTTATTTTCATTGTATTTCATGGTTTTGAGTGATACCTTAATAATAATTTTAGTGGGTAGTTTTTGTTTTGAAAAAAAACTACAGTTGTGAGTAGACAGGAACACCAAAGACCAAAGTATTATTCGAAAACAACCTAACCTGCTTTAACATAACCTAACTACTCATCTTTCAAATATGATCGATCATGCAACATGAAAACATCGTCTGTCTTTGTCCGATACATGCAGATTAGCAATACAGTTTGTTTAGACAATAAAATTGTTTGTCTCTGTCTAACATATCTGAAACTTCATTAAACATATCCACAAATCGCTGTCGTTAGAAATCTACAAGGAAACACAAAGCTTGTCTGGATGGGGTTTGACCGAACTGTAGTCCTTTAGTTTTACCACAGCCGACGTCAAATACTTCATTGAAAATATGCTTCAGCCGTATTTTCTTTTCAGCATTTAAAATTTCATCATATGACACATTGTAATTGCGGCCACATAAAAGTCTATAAGTGCCAAATCGTTTTTCTGAATTATCAGTGGTGAATTTTCCAGGCAATACATACTCAATGTCAAATTGATTAAATGAATATTCAATTATATTAAGTAGAGTCAGCGTGCTTAGATATAGAGCTGTATACGTTTCTGGTGTCAGGTGTCCATTATTATTCTCTAGATTATGCCATTTTTCTAACCATATCAGGATTTTTTTTAAAAATTGTACTCTATATTCATATTTATTGGTAATAGGCTTACAAGATTCGTTTCGCTTCAATTCTCCTTTTATTACACTTGTATTATTGACAATATCCCACCAATTCCTGATTATTTCCAAAAAGTGTGCAGCATCATTAAACTTTAATTCTTTCATAGCAGCTATTGTTGAGTGATGGAATAAATTATCTACAAAATTTACATTTTGCCTTTCAAATGAATTTGGATGCAATGTTTTATAATTTAATTTATATGCTTTCTTAACTACCTATACCTATTTAGCAGGTTTTCTAATTGGGACCATTTGGTAATTTTGAGATCATATGGCAAAACCCACTTCAAGTCACTAAAAGAAAGCTTACATCCTTTATGAACAACCTGAACTTCCATCTGACCATCAACTATAATCTGTGTATTCAAAGTTAAGATATCATTTTCAAAATCCAATTTATGAAAATATAGCTTTCCATCAGATAATTTATTATTCCATTTCTGTAAGGCTTTAATTTTTGAAAATCAAGAATGTAATTCTTGAAAGTCTTTGATCTTATCCATATCATCGAAATTCTGGATAGCTTTTTCATGTTTCTCAATTAATTTTTGTTTTCATTGCATTGGGTCAGTTCTTTTGGGTGCTTCAGTTTTTGAAAGATATGATGGCAAGTTTGGGAAAATGGAGGGAACAGCATTTTCTTTCAATTTTGGATATTTCAAAGGTATATTATTTTGGACTGTTCCATCCGCCAAAACTATATTTTCTGTCCTGATGATATCCGATTCTCTAAAATGACGACTGCACACAGCTGAATATTTTGAAGGTGTCCAATTTTTTCTGGGAATTGCTATAAGCCATTTGTTTTTCAGACTTTCGGTACTTGGGAAGCGAAAAGTTGAAACATAGCTTTCTGTTTTCAAAGCAGAATTATAGTTTGCATTGCATAAAGGAACACAGCAACAACGAGGCATATTGTCTGAGTCAAATACTTGATAAATGAAAAAAGAAAAATACAACCTGAATTTGCACGTTTTCAATAGTTGAAATCCTTAGCGTCCTGAGGCGCGAACAGCCACAGTCACACTTCTTAGTTTATTTTTAAAGCACAGAAGCACTACAACTGGAGTCTATTTCTCATATATTATAGTCACCGATCACTTTGAACACATACACACACTTTGAAGCTTAGAAAACAAGCTTATCTCTTAATTGAAAAGGTTATGTTTTCTGAGCGTTTTGAGCACGAGTTGCGTCGATGCAGCAAGCAGCGGCGGGAGTAAAACTACCACCTACGTTGCCAGATTTCTTTGTTCACGGCTCTTAGTTGACGTCGGCTGTGGTTTTACTTCTAAATCGTCTAGACCTAGACTATTAGATGTAGTAGGCGCCATCTGTTATTCACTAACTAAACTTCATGTTCGTTTCGCCCGTGTCAGATGCTTCTCAACAGGAAATTATATAGAAATTACATTTATATACATCGCAGTAATGGCAAGCAGCGATAGATGTACACATTGAAGCTTATTTGGAATTAAAAGCTTTTGATAAAAGTTCCTGAAACGAAATGTTAAAATGTATTTGTAAAGTCATTGAAATCTTATTATTGTTATAAAAAAAATCCAGGTCTAGCTTTATTGGTTGAGCTGTCACAGGGTTTCCACTCCCAGACGCGATCCCACTACTGCACAACGCGGGGACTTTTGGCTGCTGGGTTTCCCCACTGGCCCTAAAATGATGATCGTCATCTTTCGTGATTTCGACTATACTCCGCAAACCAGGGGTATTTTCGTCTAATGTGATCAGACTAAGAGACTAGGCCTAAATCAAGCTGATGAGTAACCGAGAATCACGGACGGACATGTTTAGTTGTATCGATGTTAGTGGGGATAATGTAGAAAAGTAAAGAATAGAAATTAAAAGTAGCTTTATTTAAAGTGGAGCATGGAAGCAAGCCTCGCAATAACTCTGACGATAGGTATGTGAGAGGATCATTTTTCTGTTGATTGATATAGGTAGTACAAAGGATACCGAGAAAACTGAGACGCAACGATACGATCAGCAATAGTACCATAACTGCAAATAGTACCACCACTATAAGAAGACCAACGTATATATTTTCATCGACTGTCACAGCACCAACTAGCACCGCCAATACGGTCGTACAGAGTATACCCAGAAAAAGGACTGCTAGTGTGACTCCTAGATCTACCACTGTCGAGCCAAATTATCAGCAGGTAAGCTGATCTAATGGCTCATCACTTAATTTACACACCACTGGATATTATTGACTTGCTGATTACGATTTTTTCGCAGGTAGCAACTTATTCTTCATCTACTCCAACGGTGCTTCAAGGAGATCATCAACTGGCTCGGCCTCCCCAAAATGATCAGCAGCCGCAAGTCACTGTCAAGCCTGTTGCTCTTCCGCTATCGGTCTCTACTATATCGACAAACGATGAACATGATTCTAATATCTTGAGAAGGGAGAGAGGAGAACATCATACCAATAGGCAAGTGTATAAGTTTTAGTCTACAGTGGTCTCCCCACTTATTTTCTTCCTAGGCCAAGTGACGATGAATTATTCTATCTATCCTGGATATTATGCTCTTTTGATGTTACGGAGCCTCCAAACAAGCAGTACCTATTTGTACTGCACTTTCTAGCAGTTACAGATAGTCCACAACATACGGCACTTATCTTGAAAAGTGACATTACGTCATTTTTTGTCATCATATAGGTTTTTTGTGATATTGTGTAAAATCAGGAAAGATGACTATTACGTCATACCATAAATTGTACTGAAGTAATCAATGGACGTACGTCGATGATAAAATCACGGTGTCAGGAACAAATTTGTGTTACGATTTTGCTAAGTTAGGTTATTTCACTGATTATTTTTATTTTCATTTTATTTCATGGTTTTGAGTGATACCGTAATAATTTTAGTGGGAAGTTTTTGTTTTGAAAAAACAGTTATGAGTAGAATACCTTAAGACAGGTACACCAAAGACCAAAGTACTATTCGAAAACAACCTAACCTGCTTTAACATAACCTAACTATTCATCTTTCAACTATGATCGATCATCAAACATGAAAACATCGTCTATCTTTGTTGGATACTTGCAAATTAGCAATACAGTTTGTTTAGACAATAATGTTTGTCTCTGTCTAACATATTTGAAACTTCGTTAAAAATATTCACAAATCGCTGTCGTTTGCCTTTACTACAGACTAAAATGATGACGTAATCGTCATCTTTCGTGATTTCGACAAAATAGTAGCAAAGACTAACGACAGCGATTTGTAGGAATATTTTTAATGAAGTTTCAGATATGTTAGACAGAGACAAACAGAATTTTATTGTCCAAACAATCTGTATTGCTAATTTGCATGTATCCAACAAAGATAGGCGATGTTTTCATGTTGCATGATCGATCATATTTGAAAGATGAATAGTTAGGTTATGTTAAAGCAGGTTAGGTTGTTTTCGAATAATACTTTGGTCTTTAGTGTTCCTGTCTTGAGGTATTCTACTCATAACTATTTTTTTCAAAACAAAATTTCTCCACCAAAATCATTATTAAGGTCTCAATCAAAACAATGAAATAAAATGAAAATAAAAATAGTCAGTGAAATAACCTAACTTCGTAAAATCATAATATAAATTGGTTGTCATTATGTCCCTGATTTTGACTTATATAATAGTTTTAAGTGGAAGATATGTGTGTCACATCAGTGGCGGACATCTGAACCGCGCCCTTCCTCAACCTCTTTTTTTTATACAAATGTATGTTTCTTTGTTGATGTTTGGCGAATAAAGACGTTTATTATTATTATTATTAGCTACACGGTTGAACTTAGATCATTTTTAAATGTTTGCAGTCCATTTTATGTATTTTGCTGCAATGTTCTATTTACCTAATGTTGCACATAAACATTATTATATGGCGTTATTTTTTGAAGTAAACCAAATACAGGGTGATTCACAAGTCGTGACCAAATAATGAAACATCATACACAGGACCACATTTTAAGATATTAATTTTTTTTTATTTTTAAACTTCAAAACCCCGTATCTTTTTAATGAAGCCCTTGAGGAAAAAATGTCAAATAGAAGGCCCCCTGTCGGTCCTGCATTCTTGGCCACGACTTGTGAATGACCCTGCATAGCCTAATTAACGAAGAATTGCGAGGGAAGTTAATCTACTTGACGCCTTTAGCTATGACATCAAAGAGCACGTGTATCGGCTGCGACAGTCATTCGGTCACGACGCTTCTGACGTATACAGCGCCGGCTCTATGACCACCGGAACTCCAAGACCTCCTCTCTTCACCACCACTATCCGACCTGGCATTCACGGTCTGGTTACGGAACAATCAGCTAGGATAAACTCCAGACAGGACAACCCAGTTTCTACGACGCTGAGACCCGTCAAGGTCTATAGACCAGCTCAATTATTGCCGGCAGTATGTATTTGTCACTAATAGTATTGTAGCATTTTTTCTGGGTATGGATTAAAGCACTCGATTCCACAAAAAGAAATGCACTCATTTATTTAACTTGACACCACTATATAGTATGTCTGACTACTATTTACGAATTATTATGTCGCGTCATTAACTGCACTACTCTGCTTCCCTCTCCCGGCCGTCGAATTATATAGTCCGCATCGCAGGGACTCGTTGATTCGAGAAGGTTCCGGTGAGCCACATAGCGGCAGTCCAGAATATTCGAAGTCACTTCGCGTCGATCTTGAAGAACAGTCCCTGGCATGGTCCTGAACAGATGTGGCCAGCACAGAAGGAGAATATCTGGCACAGTCCCCAACTGATGAATATTTGATAATCAAGACTATTTTTTGTACCTTGATACATCGCGATCATATCGGTACATTTTTTCTTCATTTTCACTATAATTCAGTAACAAAACTCCGATGATTATCTCGCTTATGTGTGTACGAGATTTCCTTTTTGTGTTTTTATACATTCAGGCAAAAACACGAAAGGTATTACTGGTTTCTACGGACGTTAATCTTTTTAGGCGACACCCATTGGAAGGTCACCAGCCACACAGAGATTGCCTCAGTTTGATTGGGCGACAGGCAGCCAATACGGTAGTCCGTGTCGACTCTCAGTTAAATCGTATAGGTCGATAGTTTTTTGTGGTTTATTGGCTTCTGTTTTTGTGTTCAATAGGAAAATGAACGGTATTAGTAGCATGTGTACTTATCGCTATAATATCGGAAATTTTTCAGAGTAAAGTTATTGTAATATGACTGACGTTTTCCCACATTATTTCATTTTATACAGGATGTCCCAATATTCTGTGGACGTAGAGGTACCACGATTTTTAGACTCAAAATAAGTCGACTGTACATGGTTTACCTCTATGCAAAAGTGCATCGTTTGTTTGTTTTTTAAACACATCTTTGAGAGCATGTACGTTTTACTAGAGGTCCTAGTATTTGGCTTTTACAAAAATCCCGAAAGCGTTCGAGAAGGGTGAAAACCACCACCACCCCTACATGAATTATAGCAGAATGTTTTCGAAACTCTCCCAACGACTCTGATTCTTTTTTATTCAAAATACCCTTTTATTTACTTCATTTTTAAATTCTCATAAAAACAGGCCACCTCGCAGTTTCCATCCATCCAGATGCAACCTTGCTATCAACCAACTTTCTTCTCAGAGATGAAAACTACAGACCACTCAGCTTCACAAAACATATGCAACCAACAATGCGTGTAGTTAAGTTGAGTCATTACTTCATAGATGGACGCTCACGAAGATCCTGGTGAGCAAACGTGGAATGACTGATTGCACCCTAAAAACTACCTAGTCTGCAAGATGACATTTTATAGGTTTATTTGACGTTTTATAGGTTTTTACATATTTCCTGTGCGAGAGCGTCACACTTCTTTCAAATGCGCTGGAAAGTGGCTCATGTCATGCACACACATTTTTATTACTACGATATTTAGTAATATAATTGTAGTAAATTTGAAGCTTCTTTCTGTTCTGTGAGACGGTACATTTATTTCTTGATTCAATTTCTTCCGTAGCACAACAACGTGGCTTACGCATCGCAAAATAACGACGATCCAACTCCGTCGCAGTCGACTGCAACTCCGATACCAGCGGCTGTAAATAGAGAGCCTCTGGTAGCGGTAAGACAACCGGATGGTAGAAACGCTGTTCTCATACCACTCAGCCATCTGCAGGCCGGATACGTGCCGATATTGGGAATGTATCCGCAACACGAGAGGTAATGCTGCCTAACGCAAAATTGACATTATCTAAGTTTATCTAAGGAACGTCTGGTCAGTCGTTCCTACAATTGTAGAAAAGGCTACGACAATCAAGGAGGCCATTGTAGGAACGACTGACGATACGGCCCTTACACAAATTTCATTATTACCAACGTCGCAGACTAACACAAAAATGTCACTTGCTGATCAGCTGTTTACAGCGGTAGACGTCAAAGCGCGATATTGTTGTATATACTTTTTCTTGTTTATAATTTATAGGACATCTTAAAGCGAAGACTTCAAAATAAATAAATGTCAAGTGACAGTAAAGTAAGTAAACGAACTTTTGTTTCCAAAGGCAACTCGATATTATTTTGTGTTTGTTGAAATTAAAGCCAATGAATTTCGTGCCACGACTTTTAAGACATACGTTAAAACCATACTTGCGAACCTTCTAGAAAGATTGCCTGTGCCACTAGCATGCAAAATGTGTGTGTGAGATATTTCATATGATTGCAATAGTATAGGTATCTAAATCTTTAGGCAATACGAAGGAAGCCCGAACAGACAACCTGCTGTTGTGGAGGTCGAACAACAACAGGCAGTAGTGAGAAGGCTGCAAGTCCCTGTAGCTCCCCCACTGCCCGTTCGGGTTGACCAGGATGGACATATCAGAGAGGCTACTAGTAGGCAACCTCCTCCTCAATACATCACGCCGGTGGCACCAACATTCATAACTACCTCCAGGTAAAGCTTCCGGTGATGGTACACTTAACATAACCACGTATTTAGTGGTTATCGCAGGTTATAACGTGTACACGACAGTGTAATATGTTATTCTGCACAACAAAATTCTTGGATGAAGCACTTTTCAGAAAGTATTGTTTTAGTTTATTTGTTGTTTTTGATTATTCATTGGGTGCTGTTGCGTCTTGTAGAACTTCCGATTTCACTGTTTTTTCTCTTAAATCTTTTAGAGGGTAGTCTGATAGATTATTTAGAAACAAAAAAGTGTGGATGAAGCACGCTTTTCATGAAAAAAATTTCCCAAAACATTGTATTTCTAGCTGTTGTTTCCACCGCCATCTATCTGCCATATGACGTAGACGTCTGTGCGTATGTCATATATGAGATGCGCTTGCCTGCGGTATTGCCGGATTGGGCTCCGCATTTAGGGAAAAATATGAAAAGTGGAAAATTTATATACATATGTATATTAATTAATGAATCACAAAAACGAAAAACTGAAACAAACAGTAGCAAACTAAAAGGTGATTCCTAATAAGTATAGATCAAAAAATAACAGTAGTAAGCTAAAAAATGATAAATTATAAATAATTATAAAAAACTAAAAATAACAACAGTATTAAAACAAAAATTAATTCTATATAATTATAAAAATCAAAAATAACAAACAGCAGTAAAATAAAAAGCAATTCTAAGTGATTATAAAAAACAAAAAATAAAAACTGTAGTAAAACAAAAAAAAAACAATTTCATGTTGAATAAAAAGCAATTCAAAGTGACAACACAAAACAAAAAGTAATCAGTAGTAAAACGAAGAACAATTTCATTCCATCCAAATTGCTTTTTATTTTACTGTCTGTTATTTTTTGTTTTTTTATAATTAAATGGAATTGTTTTTTGTTTTACTACTATTTTAATTTTTTGTTTTTTATAATCACTCAGAATTGCTTTTTGTTTTACTGCTGTTTGTTATTATACTTGGTAAGAATCCCTTTTTATTTTACAACTGATGTTTGTTTCAGTTTTTTGTTTTTGGGTTTCATTAATACAACTGTATATAAATTTTCCACTTTTAATATTTTTAATAAATACGGAGCCCAATCCGGCAACACCGCAGGCAAGCGCCTCTCATATATGACATATCCACAGACGTCAGCGTCGTAGATGGAGGTGGAAATAATGGAGGAAATAACTGCTAAAAAATACAGTGTTTTGGGAAAAAAATTTCATGAAAACCGTGCTTCATCCACACTTTTTATGATGTAAAATAATTTATCCGACTACCCTCTATGGTATGCGATAGTCCTACGCGGCGACCTAATTCCCGAGTGCTGATTTCCACGATACTTAAAATTTGTTCCTCCGCTCTACAGTAACATGTCTTTCACGAGTGCGAATATTAGTGCGCTGAACACTTCCTGCATCTCGAAATCTGTCGTGATAATCTTGAAGTGCAAGATTTGAATCCCGACGAGCTTCACCGTAAACTAACAACGTGTCGGCGAACTCTTGATTCGAGAACATTGTAAATAAACACGACGTACGCGAACAATAACTAACCACTGGTACCGTTTGCGATCGATTGCCGGTTCGATAACAGTGATGAATGACCGACGCGCTGTTATCATGCGTGTTTTTAAATATTTAATTTAATGAAACTTACTGACTACAAATTTTGGCCTAACTTGGAAAAACTTAATGCCATTTATTTGTTAATTACGTTTTAGATTAGATTATAAAAGTAGTAAGATTGTGGTGATTCTGGTCGATATAAAGCACTTAAACTTGTAAACTATAAAACCATTTAGACAAAAATCGATTGACTTTTGGACCATAGGTCATATGAATTTTTTGACTTGTTTTTACCCCACCTATTACCTATTTAAATAATGACGTTTACACCCTGTATAATATATACTAGTACGCGGTTAATATTAATAGATTTATAATAAAGCGTGGTATTTTTTGTTTCGATTTTTCCAAAAACAGGTACGAGTCGATGCCGGTTGACGAGGACGTCGACAATATCCGCCCTCCGGTGAGTACAAGAGATCTACAGCGACTCCTAGAACAGCTGATACAAAGGCAGAGCCGCCTGGAAAGGATTGTCACGCTTACTCGAAGAGCGCCGCCACCTCAACCTCACCAGTGGGAACAACACAGATTCAAGCAATATAGAATGCTGTATCCGGCACCCCAATTCAGCAATATCCATAAGGTATTTATTGCCACATAGATTATTATGATCTGTCTTTCATTTAACGCTGACCATTAACACATCTTGCAAACTAAATCCGCATGGTGGCAGCATAAGTACCAAAGCTTTTATTAAATCGAAAACCTTGCCCACCATTCTCCGAACTCAACTAGCATTTTTTTACGAGTACAATGAAGAAAACGTTACATATATTTGCCAAATTTTAATAATTATATCCCTGAATGATGACCTCAAAAAAAATGTTGGAAATTTTTGAAAGCTGTACGCGCAGTATTCATCATACTAGTAGATAAACATTACTTAGTTTATAATGACTTTAAAAACGTGACGTATATGACAAAAATTGCAAGTGCAGAGTTACGTTTCAGGATCCGGTGACGGATGCTTATCAGCAGCCAGAGTACGTTCCAGAACTGGATTCTGTTCGTCCGGTGAGACGTTTTGCTCGTCAAAAGCAAATTTATCCCAAGGATAAAGAGAATTTGAACCAGCAGTACCTGCCTTCCGATGTCAGGGAGATGCTTTTATTGAAAATGCTACAACTTGCCATCAACCCAGCGCTGCCTCTCACGGAGGAGGACGTGCAGGAAATTGAAGAGAAACGTAAAGGTAAATAGAGACAGAATAGGACTATATTAAAGGAAAATGCCCTGATGCCCAAATGCTTGATATTGTAGCGTTTTTCTGGGTTCTTTTGGGTGTGATTAAAACACTGGATTCCACAAAAACAAATGCAGTGATTTATTTAACTTGATAGAACATTATATACACCACTATTTATGTCTGACTAATTCTTATGTCGCCATTGACTGCACTATATTCCACTCCGCTCTGCTACACGTTTAGAAGAGTGCAAAAATCTTAACGGTGGTCATTTCGATGATGTAATTTTCAAGAAATGAATTCCAAGTAATTAGCTTTCTTGTGAATAGACAATTTTTAAAATATGTCAAATGTTTTTTTCATACGATTTTTTCAAATGTTGACTAATTCATTTTTAATGAAATATTTAATTTTTTGCCGAAAAGTGCATAAGTAAATATGAATTAGTAGTGAAAAGTTAAAGCCTTTGGTAGTCATTAACATCAAAAAAAATCTTCAGAAATGATTAAGCTATCCAGCGACGTAACAAATTAGACAGTATCTAATTACCATAAAACTTAATCAAAAATATTCACAAAAATTGTGGACTATATGCTTTCTACTTGAAATATACCTTGATTAATACCGACATGACAACAAAAACGATTTTTTGTTAAATGAACACTTTAGTACTCGTATATTCTAATATATCGAAGTTTTGAACTAAATTTCGTCATATAGCAAAAAATGCTTTTACAGAATACGTACCTAGTTTATTCTAGAATGATTTGAAAAAGAAATTTGCGATATTTAATCTCGAATTCTTTTTCAGGTGTAGGTGGAGCTAGAAATGTAGAAATTTTAGGGGAAGAAGATCCAGAGGATGATAGGGTGAAGATTGGGCAAAGATTTACTAACTGAATATGAGGAAGATCTGGATTTAAATGGAGGATATTTTACCAAAGAATTAGTTTATAATTTATTTATTCATGTTTATGATGAAATTACTGAAGAAACCCATTATTACAAAATAAATTACAATATTTATAAAAAATGGGATAAGAAACAAGAGCTGTAACCTGAAAAGTCCAATAAAATTACAGTAAATGACAACTTAAACGATTTTTTAAGACTGAAAGTGCACATATAAAAACACCAACATCCGATGGAGCTGTTTTAATAGAAATTAAATTAATTAAGTGTTTTGAAAACACCATTCTGTGTAAATTAAACGAATTTATTATTTTCTTCTTATTATCCTGATTTTTGAGCTTCTACGATAATTCTAAAACAAGTAAAGCGTTTGATGAAAAAAGTAACTAAAATAGGAACTTCGTCCAAAATTCGGTGTTACAAATCAATAATCGATTGTCATGACGAATGCGATAATTATCGTCTAGAAATTCAAAAACACCAAATCTTGTAACACGTGATAATTCTCGCATATGCGATTTCAAAAATACGGTAAGTTAGCTGATACTTTGGAGGACAATGTCACATTTCCTTACCTGTCATCAGCTGCTTAAATATTCCGTGTTCTAAGGATAAAAGAAATGCAGACAGTACAAGAGTATTTCATTTATTTAACATAGAACCATACTCTTAGGTTTAAAGCTATGAATAGGTACAATATATTTACATTTTGAAGTAATAAATAAATAGTGATGACATGAAAAAGATAAAAACAAGTATAATGGAATATACATATTATTGTCTATATTTTACTATTAGGCTGTAACACTATTTAGGCAGCTTTTTAAGCTAATATCAAATGTTATCGAGTATCGAAATTTCAAGATACATTTTATTTCATACAGAAGCGGGTTTGATCTTATTTCAAACATTTCTGACAAAAGTTCCAGAATATTTAAACATCATTGAAAAAGCAAGTCACTAAAATATTTAATTTTGTTTTATGAATACTTTCGTCCCAGAGATAAATCTCCAAGCTTCTTATATTCAAAAAAGATAGGTATTATATTGATTTTGCTTGATATAATTTAGATTGTTAACACTTTTCATTTAAATAACAGTAATACTGTCATTAAGTATTGTGGTATGAACTACTATTTGACAAAGTTTTTCATTGGCCACTTTTAACCTCTCAATTTTTTTTCACATGTCCCAGAAATCGACGTCAAGCCGGAAACGTTGGAATAGGCCTACTTATAGTAGTTATTAGAAATATATAAAAAAAATGGACAAATCTAGCCTGCGATGATCTCTTACTTCCCATTACTACAAATTTCAAGACAGATACTAACGCCACTTTTATTTGAATTTGTAGAAATGGGAACTAAAAGATCATCACAGGGTGTAATTTTTTCGATTATTGATTTAAAGCCTAAAATTTGAAAAGCATACGACTTTTTTACATTTTTCTGATAAATATTATGATTTCGTTTCCAGCTTGACGTCGACTTCTGGGACACCCTGTATATTCGTCACATGTTATGCATCGAATGCCAAAAGTGTGGTTAACATTTTTCACGATATAATTAAATATGCGAAACGTGAAAACCTATAAACAGCTGATTATCTGGTGACATGTAAAAAACCCATCTCACTTTCTAATGCGATTTATTAAATTTCCAGTCGACGACAGTATGTGAAAATAAATGTTAACGAAACTAGTCCTGGTTTCACCTATTTGATTATTTCCAACCGTACAGCCTTAAAACATAGATGTCACTCGGTGATCAGCTATTTACCTCGAGAGATGTCACTTGTCAATTGTCAGATCCTTGACATTTCATAGTTACCAAATACAATGCCAACAACACTTCACGGAGCTAAAATGCACTCGCAGACAAAAATATCGGTGCAATCAATTCTTTACACGTAAAACTTTCTGCTTAAAACAACATATTACAAGACTTATTCATTTCAATTATCGATCACTTACTTTTAATACATATATAACAAAAAAAAAAACAATAGAAAAATAACTCAACAATATTTAAGAATAGATAATACACTCGTATCGGACTAAAAATATAAACGAAAAAATGTTATTTACATAAATATTTACGTTAATTTTGTCAACCTAGTACTATAGTTACATTACATCTACAATGCACTGCTAATTTGGAAAAAGAGTGTATGATTTGGTCATTTCGCTAGCTACATCGCAAAGTTGATAAACTTTAAATTTATTAATATATAACAAATTTCATTGTTTAGATTTTGATTCAAAAATTGCTTTCATATCCTTGATGCAATACGTCGGAGATACCTTTTCTTTCCTGCAAATAAAATGGAAAAAACAAAGCTTTAATCAGTTTGAATTAGAAGTTGTTCCAAACACTCAAAAATCTCACGACCATTGTTGCCTAGCGTACCGACACCATGTAAAAAAAGGGTTGATTTCGACAAGGACAAACCTCGTATGTGAGCGAGATTGAGATATGAAAGAAATACCGATAGATTTGGCCCAGAGCTTAATTCTCACGAATCGCTACACTTAAGTCGTAAAAAGTAACTTACTTTGGACTACGACTCTCTAAGCTGATTCTCCTGAGTCTGTCAGCATCTGTCCCCCTCTCCCTACTCTCGTAAGTGTGCCGCCTACGCTCTTCCTTCCCTGGATCGGCATCTCTGTTTTTTCTTATGAAGTCGCTCTCCTTCACGTCATCGAGGACATCTTTTTTTTCCAACCTTCAAAGAAAACAAAAAGTCATATCAGCTTATGAGCATGGATGATATTCGGAAACGTGCTTCGTTCCGAAGATTCATGACATTGAAATGCTCGCTTGATGTAAATTTAAATAATGAATTGATAAACTAATTCTTCTACGAGACAATTCCAAACAATAAAATTTGAAATGCTCTACAATAACACCAGTTCCCAAAATAAAAAATTCTGAAAGATGCAGCGATATGAGACCAGTAAATGTGTTACCAGACATTGGAAAATTAGTGCATGACCAATTAATGCAGTTTATAGAAGAAAACAAAATTTTAGTGGAGGCGCAAGCAAAAAATATTCCACAGAAACGGCTTTCCAGTTGGTAACTGAGAATTGGAGAAGAGCCATAGACTCAGAAGAAGTTGTCATAGCAGTATTTTTGGATTTGAAGAGGGCATTTGAAACGATTGATAGAGATATTTTGTTAGGTAAATTGAAGCCATATGGTATAACAGGAAGTGTTTTAGATTGGTTTAGAAATCATTTGTCTAAAAGGATGAAACTTAAAAAAGTTAATGACACTATTTCATCAAAAATTGAAAATACGTTGGGTGTTCCACAGGGCAGTATCCTGGGACCACTTCTTTATATTTTATACATAAATGATTTACCTGCCATAGTCAAAAAATGCAAAATTCAGATTTTCGCCGATGACACTATGATTTATATAAGTACTAAAAATATTCAGTCTGGTAACTCTTATATAAATGAAGACTTGAAGCTTGTCTCAAAATGGTTAGCATCTAACAGACTAAAATTAAATGCAAGTAAAACGAAAGCCTTGTTAATCGGAAAAAAGCAATGTACAAATGTTCAACTGAATATTGATGGTGAAGATATTGAATTCGTAGAAAATTTTAAATACCTGGGGGTTTTTGTTGACTCTCGATTAATTTTTGATAGTCATTATGAAAAACGTATAAATAAGATTAGTAGTAAAGTGGGATATTTATCGAGAGTTTCTGGATGTCTGAGTTCATATAGCAGAAAAATTATCTATAATACCATCATCCTTCCAAATTTCTTGTACTGTTCGACTATTCTATATTTAGCAAATAATTCCATTTTTGAAAGACTGCAAATTTTACAAAATAAGTGCATGAGAATAATACTAAATAAAGATAAATATACTCCAATTATGCAAATGCTTAGCAAATTAAAATGGCTCAATGTAAAAAATTTTATCAAATATCTTGTAATGATATTCATTTATAAAGTAAAACATAATATATTTCCATCAAGTCTAACTAATTTAACATCATCAAATGTCGACCATCATTTACATAATACCAGAAATAAAGATGACTTCCATTTAATGACCAAAAAGTATAAAATGCTACAAATCTGTATTCCATCAAGGGTTGATTGAATATAATAAATTATACTCGGAGATAAAACACCAGAAAACGTTGACAAAATTTAAAGTAAAATTGAGAAATCACTTGTTAAATCTACAATTATAGGTTGCCCAGCATTTACATCATACACCATATGGCTTGAATTTACTAGTTCTAAGTTGTTTACAATTGTTCTGTTTATGTAGCCAAATGTGCTAAATACATCTTTATACTACTACTAATAAATATCAGCCATCTTTCAAAAGCTATTTGTAGCATTAATGCTTAATAAATCTTCAAAAACAACAAACAAAAAAACCACAAAAAGTTCAATTGAAGAGCAGCTTACCTTTCTCCTATTTTATTTTGAGCAGCTTTGGCATGCGTAGTGTCAGTCTTTTTCGCCTGATCTCGCAAGGAACGATTCAACGTTAAACTAGTTGGCGGTTGGTACTTTTGGGTATTCTGCTCGAAAATGGCCGCGCGCGTCTTGATCGGCTTGCAGATCAGATCCTCTGTCGGAGCAGGGGTTTCTTGAGGTGCTGGCGCGCTAACCAACTTTACGGTGACCGGTTGTTCCGATTTAGCATCCGGAACGTTGATGGATTCGGTACTGCTCTCGCTTCTGGTGCTCCTTCTGCGATGCCGTGCGCTCCTGTCGGCGTCTTTGGCTGCGGCTCTCGCAGTCTGTTCTGCCGTCTCATCTTTCGGTTTGTATATTCTCAATCTGGTCAGCAGCACTTCTTTGTCTTCCTTGAAAGATTCGGATCTGGAAGATATAGTCGATTTTGGGTAACTGCCAGAAATAAAAGAAACATTACTCAAAAAAGGTAAAATAATCCAAATTTCTTTGACAGGCTGTATTTCGGTGAAAAATTCGATAGAACTTTTAAAATTAATGCATAAAGTCTATATAAACATGGGTCGAAAAATGCGTGGCTTCCGAAATACTTTCTAAAATAGTTTTTTTTAAATATTTCGAACAATATTTGATGTATAACAGTGAAAATTGGTATACACGGGTTTTTTGGTACGACAAAACGAACCATAGTTTTACTGTAGCCG